TCAGCCAGCCCGAGACCCAAGGGGCCTCTTTGCTGACAGAGGACGGGAGGAGGGGCGCGGGCCGGGTCGGATTACTGTAAATATGCAAAAGCGGAGGCAGTGGGCGGGAGGGGGCTAGGTGCCGTAGAGGGCAAGGGGCACTCACATCCCCGGCGCGCCACTCGCGGGGCTCCCGTCTGCACGTGCCCGGGCCTCTCCCGCTCGCTCAGTCTGCGGAGGGCGCGCGCCCGCGCACCGGGCTCCCGCGTTCGCGCCTTTGTTCCCGCCCACGCGAGGCCCATTTTGACGGATCGAGTTTGAGGCCCTCTAGCGGCCAATCGGCGTCGTCGCCATTACCTCTCCCCGCCCCCTCGGAACCCCGCGAGGGCCGCCCCCTTTCCCTGTCCACGTGGTCTCGGCCTCCGGCCCTGGGCTGCTCGCGAGTTCGGGGCCCCTGTGCTGTGGACTTCTCCACTTCCAGGGGTGCGGACGTGCTCTCTCCGCCTCGTGCGTCAGGCCGCGCGCGGTTGCCCGCTCCCGGATTCTTGCGAGACTGTCGGAAGCCCGGCACGTTGTAGCGGGCACAGCCGGCGCCGCCCTCCGCCCTTCCCATCCGTAGGCCGATCCCGTGGTAGCATCCGGTAGGGAAATGGTCGTGCTTTCGGTGCCCTCCGAAGTCACTGTGATCCTGTTAGATATCGAAGGTACCACAACCCCGATTGCTTTCGTGAAGGTGAGGGGCGGAAGGGAGTGGGGAAGTTTTGGCTTAAAAACAATAAAAAATTTTAACTATTGCAGACCTTGCCTTAGAGACACGAGGCGTAGGAGAGGCGGTGTGACTTTGCACCCGCTGTGGGATCGGAGGAGGTAGTCTGCGGCAGATGGTGGGGATGAATTTCCTCACCGCACCATCTTCGCCTTCCCCCGTCCCTGCCCCTCGGTTAGATGCAAGATGGGTGGGGAGGGATCAAAGTGATGGTGAAGAAGGATGGAGGAGGGCAGGTCCGCCGGGGTTGGGTGAGGCGATGTGGGTGCCTCCCGCCGGGCAGGTGTACTTCCCGTCGCCCCGCAGGTAAGCGCGCACCTTGTGCGGGGATGGACTTGGCGAGTCATCGGCCGCAATCTAGTGGTCCTTGAGGCTTCTAGTCCCCCCAAAATGGAAGACTAAAGTGTCAAGATGACTTTTCAGGTAACCCTGGTATGCTAGGCGATAATGGTTGCTCTTCGCCCTTTCCCACTCCTGCAGGTAGTGGCTGAACTGCACACTGTACAAACTGGACTAGGCTAGATTCCGTTCATTTTTCTCAAAACATGGAAGCTTGAAGGAACCTTGGAAGCTTGAAGGAACCCAAAGCCTTCCTCCTAGGTTGTCAGTGCTAACCAACACTTGTCTGCACCTAGTTCACAAACTTACAGCTTCGCATAAGAGCAGGTTCCTTTTTTATATATATTGTGTTTGTCAGGGTAAGGAAATATCAAATATTAATTTAGTTTTTAAAGGAATTCCTCGGGCTTAGTCTTCTCTGTATTTGACTTCTAGAGGTTTAAAAGTATTCACTAGAAATGCTTACATCCAATAATAATCAAGATACTGTTTACAAAGTAGGAAAACCCCATCTTCCAACAAACTAAGAGTCTGAATTTTAAATTTGTTAAATTTAGTTTTATTTTAAAAAATTACCTATAAAGAATGATTTTTTTGGATCGAGGTTTTAACAAAACAGTGTACAGTTTTAGTACTCCAGTAGGACAACTGCTTACAAATTTTTTGGAAATGCCACAGTACCTTGACATCCTAGCAAAAGTTCTTAAGAAATCTAGTTTGGCATTTTCCCACGTTTTTAAGCACACCTGAGGCCTCTGCAGAAAAACCAGGATTGGCCAAATGCTGATAATTGAGTTGACTTTCTTTTTCTTGTTGATTGTGACAATAACTGCTCTCTTGTAGTTTTCAAAGAAAAAATGGTTCCTCATCTTTATGGTTTATAGTTTACAAGGCACTGTCTCCATCCTGGCTTTCTCTTGCTTTCCACCGTCAATAGGAGACCAGAGATAATGATGGGAAAGTTAGTAATGTGGCATAAGATACGTACTGTTCTTGGAAAGTTAATTTAGAGAGTAAGATACCTCATGCAAAGCCATTTTGTAACAAAACATAAAGCGTCTCTCATCTTTTTTCCCCAATTTGTCTTCTGTAAGATGACAGGATCCGCTTCTTGAAATCTTTGTTTCTGGCAGACTTATTCTGAGAGCTTTCTGTGAATAAAAATGTCTTAGTAGTCTAAATAGATTTTGTTGGGTGGATTTGACTCCAGACTACAGGCAAATTCAAGACAGGCTGCAAAAATATTCAGGGATCTTGTTTAAAGGGTAGTTTCTTGTTTTTTGTCCTATAACCTATTATAATTATTTATATTAATATTAACTAATCTATTATGATATAATAGCCTATTATGTATTGATTTATCGAAACTAGTGTTTCTAAAAGTGTGTTCAGAACATTGTTTATGTATATTGATAGTAATCATGCAAGAAAGGATTCCATTTTTAAATGCATTTTGGAGAAATGTTCTATACATATTCAACCAGATTTATTTGTTGCACACCTTCTCAGCCTTTATATCATACACACACTTGTACGCACATATATGCTTTGTCAGCCTTCAAGAGATGCATTTCACAAATTTACTTGAACCAAGAAACTTTTAGCAGAGTATCTCTTATCTTTTCAACACCTTTTAAAGAAATGGTATATTATGTCCTTGAACCTCTGAGCATGGAGCTGTGAATTGGGAGATGTTTTGCTTTGGGCTTTATTAGTCACATTAGGTGTGTGAACTTGTAGCCCTACTTCCTGTAGAATGATGAAAGGAAACACTGAGTATTGTATATATGCGACTTGTATACTTTGACTCATCCTCAGAAACTGTGTGAGGTGTGTGAATTGTTTGCATTTTACTGATAGGAAAATAAGGTTCTGAAAAATTGAACAATATGCCTGGGATTTGAAACCAAATTGTCTGACTCCATAGTCCTTACTCTTTCCATTTTTATTGCACTGGATCTCTGAAATGGGAACCACAGAGCTTGTTCCATCTTCTTTGCCTGGCCTCTGTGGGTGTTAAATGAGAGTGGTTTAATCAGGAAGAAGTACCATAAAAGTATATAGTAGCGAATTTCAATTTACACCACTCTTGGTGATAGGCTTAGGAGTGAACCCTTGGAACAGAATAACTATAGTTGAATCTTACTTTATTTGGGGGTTTGGTTCTACAGTCAGTGTATACTGTGAAAATTGAGCATTGTCAAAAATTGCCTTTGAAATACTCTTAGGAAGTCAGTCCTCTTTGGAGACTGATTCCATCTTTCAGTAAGTCATATGCAGCCATTTTCCCTTCAGAGTTGAAATGAATCCCTTCTTCTTTCCAAGAGCATCAGAGGAAGTATTTAGTTTGGGAATAGGTGATGTAGATGAAAAATGATACTGTGTCATACGTTAGCCTCACACCAAACCATTCATGCTATAAGAGACCCTGGAGCCTGAGACTGTCCCAGGGAACAGAACACCTTCATTGACTGGAATGGCAGACAGATATGCCAGGACTGGTTATGGTTATTTCTTCCCTTTCTCTTCTTTTTTTCCCACTGAGCACTTACAGTTGAATGTGAATATTATGCAACTGAACTATTTAGCACTAGCAGTCCTGGATATCTTACGGAATTCCATAGCATCTTCCCAGTCTGGGAAGTGGTGTTCTGTGAGCAGCCTGTGGTTCTATCAGGGCATGCCTCCAGTCCTTAAGCTCCAGGCAACAGTAAACAATGGTATTACTTACCTGCTATTATGTCTTACTTCCTTTGGGTCAGAATGGTCAAATTTCTAGAGCAGGAAGGGTTCCTAGCTTGGATCATCTAGTCAGTGTCACAACCAGATAATTAATTTCTCACATGAATCAGTTGATGCCTGGAGGGAATGTCCTATGTGAGGATCATCACAACTTGTTGCAGGCAGAGCAGAATAGAACCCAGCTTTCCTAAGATGTTCCCAGTGCATCTGAGTCTTCAGCGCCCCAGCCTTGCCCCTCATTGCAGGACACACGCCTCTTGAGTTTCTTTTCTTTTCAGGTGCTGACTTTGATCCTCTACAGTGGTGATCTCCCAACATTGTTTGGTCGTGTACACCATCAGCAAAATTATAGAAGGCACTACCAATATAATTTATTGTGTACACATGTTATTGTACTATATTAAGTTATAAAGTGACTTGGAATTTAAAGATGAGATCTAAAGAGTAAATATGAATGAATATTGTTGTATTCTCTTCCCTCATCCCCCTGAATCATCCTGCACCCATCCCATGGAGCCACCACTTGATCTTTTGTGTGTGGTGATGTAATATTCACTTTCTGACTTTGTGCATTGTGTTATTCTAATGTTTTTAGCCTGTAAGCTATGAAATAACACCATTACCAGTCCTGTGGTTATCCTGTCAAGAACCTTCAACAATTGCTTTTGAGTTGGAGAAAATGATCTCGTTTCTGAAAGTGCTCTGTAATTTGGTGCCTTCCCTGTTACATGTCAGGTTAGTACACGTAACAACAGTTGGGGTAGTTGTGTTCTATAAAGTCACTGTGAACACCATCTTAGCAAACACTGAATCATTGCCCTCAGAGGAAATGCAGGATTAGGTTCCTGTGGGCCTCTGGTCACATTTTTGTCAACTGACTGATACGTAACCTTGTTTTATGTGTGTTTCTTTTTGCCTTATTTAATATATATTGTTGAGTCATTAACATTGAGCTCACTGCCAATGGCACTAATGCTTTAACACTTGTATTTTCTCCATAAGGCAGCTTTCTTGCCCTTAGAAACACTTGACAGTGCTTCAGCTCTTTGCTTGGGGGCCATCTT